ATCCCATTAGAGCGTGCAGCTGGGCCCTAGAATAAGGTGGAAAAATCAGTCCAGATAAGAACTGCTGCTTATTTTTCCTGAAGCTGAAAATTACCATTTTTTGGTTTGTCTGTTGTGCCAACAAGAGTTTTAGAGTTTAATAAAGAAACAGAATTCTCAGTTTGTTACCCTACAAAGATTTACTTTTTTTTAGCCTCAAATGATCTTTTCTCATTGAGAGTTTGTTCATAGTAAGTTTTCTCTTTCAGACCTTGGTTTTGTTTTCTTTTGTTCTTTTTTTTTTATTGATATCTAGAATAGGTGTCCTTCCCCCCCAAAAAAGTTAATGATTAGGAGAAGTTGCAGAAATTAATCTGCTGTAGAAATGTCATTGTCTCTTTGTCTCCATGATTAAATATTCTCTAAGTATGGCTCAGGTGCACTATTACTTGCTTTTCAGTCTCTTCTGATCAAAAGTTATAAAGCTAGAATAAGCATTTCCAATGAGTTAAAGTGGTTCTTTTCACTTGACATAAAACAGGTGCTTTTATTATTTTAAGATTCCATTTTGTTCTGACTTCTCTTTGGCAAGGCTGATCTGCACCTATTTCTGATCCAGAATGTCTCCCCTTCGATCCTCCTGACATTCATACCCGGGAATTCTTCATCACAGGGGCTGTCCTGTGTACTGTGGTGTATGTGGCAGCATCTCTGCCCTCCACCTTGATGCCAACAGCACCTCTCAGACCACATGTCCCCTGGGAGGCAAACTTGCCTCACGTTGAGAGTTGCCATTCCACACTGTATATAGCATGAGCTGCAAGACACGTCAGTGGTTATATAACATGGGAGAAATAGAAGCTTTTTTAAAACTTTCATTTCTTTTATATCTGATTTTCTTTTTCGTATTCTGATCATGAACATATTTTAAAGTATCTGTAGCTGAGAGCCAGCAGGTGGCATAATGATTACGTCACTGTACTCCCACGTAGTCGACCATGGTTCAAGTCCTAGACCCAGTGGCTTAGCTAGGCATGTGTGCATGCATGCCCAAAATCCTAAGAGGAGAATGGAGGAGAAGGGATTGCGGTGTGGCCATCCCCCTCCCTGGGGGGCAGGGTGATTTCTTGCTTTCTGTCTCTCTGTCTCTCTGCCTCTTTGGCAAGTGCACATGCCCTATAGCAAGAAAAATCTCTTAGAAAAAAAATAAAAACCACTGTAGCTTTTTTCCTATTCAAGAGGTTTTTTTTTGAGGTTTTGTTTGGTTTTTGCTATGGAGCACATGTGTTTGCCAGAGAGAGAAGAAAAGGAAAGTGAGAAACCACCACCCCACCCCACCCCAGGGGGAATGGCCACACCACAGTCCCTTCTCCTCCATTTTCCTCTCCTTTTGGGCATACACACACACACACACACACACACACACACCTAGTGTGATTTTCAAACCACAAGGTCCAGGACTTGAACCACACAATTGATCATGTTAGATACAGCTGCCTTAATCGCCACACCACTGCTGGCCATCCTATTCAAGACACTTTCAAAGAATGGGAAGTCTTTTGTGTCCACCTCCAGGCCAGAGCCTGATGCTCTGAGGGGTATACACACTAATTCATTCACACCAGGTATTTTTGCTATCTAACTCTCCAAATTCAGGCAAGACACTAATTGCATGTGTGTATGTTTTTTAAAATGAGATTTTCAAAACATACAGAAAGTTGTTTCTTTCACCTTAGAAAGTAAAATGTGGGCTGGCTCCATAGCCTAGTGATTGAGGAAGTCAGATCCCACATGGCTGACTCTTGTTCAAATCCCAGCCCCAGAAACATGCAGAATATGCTGGGCATTTGTGCACATGTGTGTCCAAAATCCCAACAGGATGGAGAAATGGAGAAGGAATTGCAGTGGACCACCTCCCATTGGGCGGTGCTTTTTTCTTTCTCTTTCTCTCTGTCTCTGTCTCTCACTAGCAACCACACACATGCCCTGGCAATTAAAAAAGTAAGGAATGCCTGCCATTTGAATATATAATATGTTACTGAAATTTGGAGGATAAGACAAAGAAAATCTATATTTAATTAATATGAATAGGTGTGTCAAGAACGTCCTTGTAATGCTCTGTTTAGTAGACTCCAGTCATTCCAAGTTTTCAATAAAAGAATATTGCATATTTGCAGAATTTGAGTAGACTAGTCAATGTTGAAAACAAGGGGAAAAAAATGTATGATTCTACTTTTTTTTTTTTTTTGGAAAGGTTTTTGCAATAGAGCACATGTGCTCGCCAGAAAGACAGAGACAGAGGGACAGAAAGTGAGAAACAACTCCCCCTAGCGGGGGATAGCCACGCCGCAATCCCTTCTCCATTCTCCTCTTGGGATCTTGGGCATGCACACATATGCACCCGGCATGAGTTTAAACCACTGGGTCTGTGACTCAAACCGTGGTCGACTACCTGGGAGTCCAGTGATATGGCCATGTGTCAACTGCTGGTTCCTGATTCTACTTTTTTAAAAGACTATTTAGAATCTTCCAACTGGAATGGTATTTCATACTGTGATGGGTCAAGTATCGTTGTATTCCCAAAGCTGACCTGCACAGGTAGGAACTCCTTGGGCCTAAACTGAAGCTAGAGCCAGGGATGGAGCTGAGACCTTAGGCACTACAAAAGCTTCCCCATCCACATTCTACAGCTGTAGATGGAGGGCTAGAGGGAGACGGATGGAAGTTAAGTGAGTACTGGCTGGAGGGAGGGTTCATTCAGCTGCCCACATCTCTCATACCTGTCTACCTCCTGTCTGAGGACTTAGGGAGGCTTTAGCGCACCTCCTTCATCTGTCAGCAGAACCCCGCTGTTCTCAGAACACAAAGGCAGCCCTCAGTGATGCTGTTACGCCAGCACACGCAGATGAACGGTGTGTTCTCGTGTCTGCACAAGTGTCCCTTTGCCTCCTGTCCCCCCACCAGTGCGTGTGTGTGTGTGTGTGTGTGTGTGTGTGTGTACCAGGTGTTGAGTTTGCACACCCGATAAGATAGCCCGACAGGTACTTACAGAGTAAGTTAAGTCTCGTTCACAAAGTGATAACATTTTAGAACTGGCAAAACTGGGGGAATTAAAGAGTAACTTTAGAGCCCCCAATAGCTCACATACAGAGTAGATGATAAATGTAGAAACCTGTCATTCTAGAAATTAGTACTGGTTTAAAATAGGGAGTTGAAGATAGTTTAAATGAAGCATTATCAAATACTTGTTGTAGGGAACCAGCAGTTAGCGTAATGGCTATGTCGCAGGACTCCCACGTAGTCGACCGCGGTTCGCGTCCCGGACCCGGTGGCTTAAACTCATGCTGGGCGCATGTGCGTGTGTGCCCAAGATCCCAAGAGGAGAATGGAGGAGAAGGGATTGTGGCGTGACCATCCCCCCTGGGGGGTGATTTCTCGCTTTCTGTCTCTATGTCTCTCTCTGTCTGTCTGGCGAGCGCACGCACCCTATAGCGAAAAACCTCTCAAAAAAAAAAAAATACTTGGTGTTTTGGGTGAATCATGACTTTTCAAGCTCAACACGCATCTTCTGAATTTCCTCTCAAAAGATGTTTTCCTTTGTCTTGTTTCTTCTCCTTGTTCATTCAGTACTTCAACAGGTATTTATGACATATTGGTTGCCATGTGCCAGACACTGCAAATGACATGTCTTCATACTTTCTTTGCCTTTTTCTGGGAGAGGAGAGGGGGGTTGTTATGGTAGCTGTAATTCTTCCTGTAGGTGAAGGTTCGAGTGTGAGATTGAGCAGTCAGAGGTTGCTAGGGGCCCTGCATGGCAGTGGAAAGGCAGGAGTCTTACAGCCTGTGCCGGTAGCACATGCATGAACGTGTTCTGTGCGCACACGCATACACGTGCGCACACGCGTACACGTGCGCACACACACGACACCCTGTTAGATCTGGGTCTTCATTTTGTAACAGCGGAAAGGACATAGTCAGGGAAGAAGACAGAGCATAAACACATTCCCCCCCTCCCTGCTTGTTCACTAGATTACTAAGTTTCTGTGTGTTTGGTACTAGGGGGTAAGAAATTATATTTTATATCCTTGCCAACAAATCCTTTTTAAAATTATCACCTAACACTACAGCACCCCTCACAGACATTAGGGGGAAAAAAAAAAGATTTTAGGCCCAGGGAAGAGTGGAGCAGTTGAACACCAGTGAGATTATAACTTGTTCGTGCATATTTTTTGCACTCCTACCATGTCCCAGGAAATCTGACTGATGCGAGGCCTCAGTCACCTAAAGCAGCCCTGTCCTGTCATTTGCGGAACTTCCCATCTACTAGAGAAGCCTTGAGCAAGACGGGAGACAATACCCCTGCCTGTTCCACAGTGTCGCCTGGGGCTCGGCCGGGGAGTGGCCTGCAGAGCCATCTCTGTAGGCCTGCTGACCCTGTTCTATAAAAACACGATGGGTGAGGGAATCTCAGGGCAGGGAGAAACACCCAGCTGCATTTGTCTGGATATAACTCTCATTAACCTTGTGCTGCTAGTTACTCTCCTCCAGAAGTACTGCTCAAAGGATGAGAGGAAATGTGGTTTTATTAAGACAGTGAAAGATTGGGATATGGATGTATCTCAGAGACCATTTCAACATCTAAAAGCTATTCGACAGGGATCCTGTCAGCCAAAGATGAAATGTGTGTAGCTCAAAGGAGGAGGAGCTTTTTAGCAAGTTTACAAACAGCTCTTCCATGTGAACTATAATCATTTGCTAGTTCAACAGGAAGACTGTTCCTCTTATGAACTAATTATTGAGCACAAACGATTACTGACACACAAGAGCAGCCATGGAAATTAGAATGCGATGACTTACAGGCACGCTCGCCAGACTCCTGGAAGTATCTGGTCTTCTAGATGCTGTAAAGATACATATTAAGAAGGTTGAGTGCAAAGTGATTGTCACTTGAAAAACCATCTTCTTTGGCAAATTTATAATTTGAGGTGTTTCTCTCTTCTCCCCCCCAACCCACCTTTTAGCTTGTCAAAATTCCAAAAAACGATCCCCTCAATGAAGTGCATAACTTTAACTTCTATTTGTCCAATGTGGGCAAGGACAACCCTCAGGGCAGCTTTGATTGCATCCAGCAAACATTCTCCAGGTAAGTGCTCTTCCAGGTATGCTGAAGGGAAAGTCATTTTTATATAAGGGGTTTTTAAAAATTAAACCATAAAATCCATAGTAGTCATTCCATAGGTATTTATTGAATTCAATCACAAATGTCATTTATTTGAAAAATACAAGAGAGGTGTTCAAAATGTTTGTAGAAAATATATACTATGAAATAGCTGTCCATGGATTTTTAAATGAAAATATACTCATACTCTAATCCCTTTTTCTATAAACTTTTTGAAGTTCCCTCATATTTCGCACTTACTGTGTCCTAGATATTATATTTGTCACTGGGATATTATAGCAAAAATTCTAAGATCCTTGCCTTTGAGGGGCTTTTAAGGGATAGTCAATATTTTAGTACAAAATATGGGGTTTTTAAAGTTTAAAACAATGTTTCAGTATTTTTTTATTTTTTATTGAATTTAGAGTGTCCCTGATGCATATTCCAGGGTAGTGTCGCCTGGGGCTCGGCCGGGGAGTGGCCTGCAGAGCCATCTCTGTAGGCCTGCTGACCCTGTTCTATAAAAACACGATGGGTGAGGGAATCTCAGGGCAGGGAGAAACACCCAGCTGCATTTGTCTGGATATAACTCTCATTAACCTTGTGCTGCTAGTTACTCTCCTCCAGAAGTACTGCTCAAAGGATGAGAGGAAATGTGGTTTTATTAAGACAGTGAAAGATTGGGATATGGATGTATCTCAGAGACCATTTCAACATCTAAAAGCTATTCGACAGGGATCCTGTCAGCCAAAGATGAAATGTGTGTAGCTCAAAGGAGGAGGAGCTTTTTAGCAAGTTTACAAACAGCTCTTCCATGTGAACTATAATCATTTGCTAGTTCAACAGGAAGACTGTTCCTCTTATGAACTAATTATTGAGCACAAACGATTACTGACACACAAGAGCAGCCATGGAAATTAGAATGCGATGACTTACAGGCACGCTCGCCAGACTCCTGGAAGTATCTGGTCTTCTAGATGCTGTAAAGATACATATTAAGAAGGTTGAGTGCAAAGTGATTGTCACTTGAAAAACCATCTTCTTTGGCAAATTTATAATTTGAGGTGTTTCTCTCTTCTCCCCCCCAACCCACCTTTTAGCTTGTCAAAATTCCAAAAAACGATCCCCTCAATGAAGTGCATAACTTTAACTTCTATTTGTCCAATGTGGGCAAGGACAACCCTCAGGGCAGCTTTGATTGCATCCAGCAAACATTCTCCAGGTAAGTGCTCTTCCAGGTATGCTGAAGGGAAAGTCATTTTTATATAAGGGGTTTTTAAAAATTAAACCATAAAATCCATAGTAGTCATTCCATAGGTATTTATTGAATTCAATCACAAATGTCATTTATTTGAAAAATACAAGAGAGGTGTTCAAAATGTTCATAGAAAATATATACTATGAAATAGCTGTCCATGGATTTTTAAATGAAAATATACTCATACTCTAATCCCTTTTTTCTATAAACTTTTTGAAGTTCCCTCATATTTCGCACTTACTGTGTCCTAGATATTATATTTGTCACTGGGATATTATAGCAAAAATTCTAAGATCCTTGCCTTTGAGGGGCTTTTAAGGAATAGTCAATATTTTAGTACAAAATATGGGGTTCTTAAAGTTTAAAACAATGTTTCAGTATTTTTTTATTTTTTATTGAATTTAGAGTGTCCCTGATGCATATTCCAGGGTAAAGGCGGGGGGCGGGGGGGGGGGCAGGAAGAGATACACATTTTATATGTCCTCTTTTTTCTTTTTTGGTTCAAGCCTTTTTTCAAGGTTTATTTTAGAAATCTTTATTCTGCAGCAGCATGGAAGCCAGAAGCCAATCCCAGTATAGCAGTTACTTTCTCTGTTTTTCAAATAAGTAAATAAATAAAGAAGGAGGGAGGAAGACAAGACTGCACACCCACACCCAGGGTACCATGGAGCCCTTATCTTCTTAGGTCCTCTGGAAACAATAAGCCTCTTGTCTCTCTCTGCTTTGCTTACTTGTTTATGATTAAAGAATGGGCCCTTGAGCAAGGGTAGCTGTTCTCTGGCCCCTGGATAGAAACAGAGATGGAGGGGGACTAGCAGTTAGCGTAATGGCTATGTCGCTAGACTCCCATGTAGTCAACCGCAGTTCGCATCCCGGACCCGGTGGCTTAAAACTCACACCGGGCACTTGTGCGTGCGTGCCCAAGATCCCGAGAGGAGAATGGAAGAGAAGGGATTGCGGCGTGACCATCCCCCCTGGGGGGTGATTTCTCACTTTCTATCTTTCTGTCTCTGTCTGTCTGGCGAGCACACACGCCCTATAGCAAAAACCTCTAAAAAAAAAAAAAAACCAGTGATGGAGGACTCTGTCCTTCCTTAGCATGTATGGTTTTGACGTTGGGCCAGACTACCTCAAGCCAGTCCATCCCTATTGCTGTCCATGCAGTATTTGAAATTGTGTAAGCACTTCCCAGGTATGGGGAAAGCAGAAGAAAACTGGGTTGCATGTGAGCACAGCAGGCACAGATGCAAATAAGACAGTTCAGTTTGTTGAAACAGTTCCCAATTTCTCTTCTTGTTTGTTTTACCTTTATCTGTCATTTTCTCTGAACATATATTAATTTTGCTTTCTGAAAATTGCCCACCTCCAAACTTACCTTTTTCTTTTCTTTCTTTCTTTTTTTTTTTTTTTGCAAATGGCATGCATAATAGATTATGAGGACTTTTCTGCACTGTCTGCAGCAGTAGCCACTAGTCACACATGCAATTTACATTTCAACTGGTCAAAACTGAATAAAATGTAAAATTAGTTGTTCAGGCACACTCACCACATTTTACTGTCTGTACAGTAGCCACTATGTGCAAAAAGGTTTAAGGTTACTAGCAAAACTATACACCATGCAGCAAAAGAACAGAAGCAATTAATGTGAGAAAATTGGGACAAATGCATTAGTATCTCGTCAGTGTGAGTCAAGGTGCTTTATAAAATTATGTGGTGTGTTTATAATCTGAAATTTGTTGCTACCAGGCTTTCAGTTCTGTTTGGCGTGCAAATTTGTATGTCCTTTATCTGGCTCCACCTTTTCTTTTACTTATCTTCTTTTTTTTTTTTTTTTTTTTTTATTTCTATAGCCAGAGGACATGTGAATTTGCCACAGAGATAGAAAACAGAGCACCCCAGTGGGTCACAGTCATGCTGCAGTCTTTTTTCCCCCACCCCATCAGAACTTAGGGCACACAAGCACAAATGCCCAATGGGTTTTTCAAACTGGCAAGGCCAGGATTTGAACCATGGTTAGCCACGAGGGACCTGGCACTCTGTGCACAGGACTTAACCACTGCACTACTGGGGCAGCCCTGGCTCCACCTTTCCTATTCAATTTCACTTTTATTTTTCCCATGGTTGGTCCTCCTCTAATTGTGCAAGTTCCTCAAGGGGAGGAGTTTTTTTATAAGCCCTTGTTGCTGTCTCGCAATGCTGACTGAGCCAGAATACGATTTCAGTAGATGTGTGTTCAACAAGTACAGATTAACTAGCTTTCTTTCATACTATCTTTTTAAACCTCCTTGCACCTCACTTACTTCTGATATAAAATGGCAGAAATGCCATAGTCATAATTACCTTTTATGGGTGAGCCGGTGGCGTGGTGATTAAGACAGTTGGATTCCATATGGTGAATCATGGTCCATGAACTGGACCCTGCAGCTTGAAAAACACACCAGGCATGTATGCGTATCTGCCCAAAATCCTAAGAGGAAAATGGAGGAGAAGGAACTATGGTGTGACCAACCCCAGGGGGTACTTTCTCACTTTCTCTCTCTTTCTATCTCTCTGTCTTTTTCTGAGTGCATACTCTCTATAGCAATTTTTTAAAAGAATAATAATAAAGAAAAGAAAAAAGGAAAAGAAAAATTGCCTTTTGTGGCCCAGCCACAGTAACTCACATGGGTTGACTCTGCTATTCAGCAGGCTACAGTCACATGGGTGACCCAGGTTGGATTTCCATTCCACCCTAAAAGCTCTGCGTGGTGGTCTGCATCTGTGATCTCTGCACTCAGGAGGATGAGGTGGAAGGATTGTGAACTCAGAGCCCATGTGCATAGCAGTGATGTTCTAAGACAGTGTTAAAATACCTTTCAAAAATTCCTTCAATCTACCCATTCATAGACTTAATGAAAACATATAGTTTGGGACATACAGTGTATAGTACCACACACTGAAGTGTGGCTAGTGAAAGAGCAAAGGAACACTTAGACACATGTGTCCAAGTATTTGCATTTTTAAGAGACTCAGTTGAAAAGAAATGAGTCAAAAATTCAAGAGTACCTTCTTGCCCATAGGGTTTTCACCTGAAGATCTGTTTCTTGACTGGGTGGTGTAGGCAGTAACTTCATCATGAGTGGCAGCATGTAAAATATTTAGTAAATAATAGGGAGATATGTTACAGTGCAGACTTCCTGCCACCAGACCCGCACTCAACTGCAGTTGTTTTCTCCGAATTTTAGCCCCTCTATCCCACTTCCCCTGAGGGTTCCCTCCTTGCCCTCTTCTCCTCTCCTCTCTTCCACTGGGTTTTTTTCTGCATTCAAACTTGCTCAAGATTTTCTCATTAAAAATAAATAAATAAATAAAAACAAGAATACACTCACTGCCTCCAGGCCCCACGACTCCACTGAAATGCTCGCCAGGGTCTGGTCCTCCTCGCCCATGAGTGCAGTGGGTGCTTATTAGTTCCGCCTTGTTCTGCACACGCCGTGCTGCCACATGTCATGCTGTTGACCACTCTGTGCCGCCCAAACTTTTTATTCCAGTGGCTTCCAGACACAGTACTCTCCTGGTCTCCCTCCTAACCTCTTTGGCTATAGCTTTTCCATCTTAGGTGATAATCTTTCTTCCTGTTGGTTAAATATCAGTGTTCACAAGTGGTTCCTTTCCAAGACCCCTTTTGTCCGTATTTTTCAAAGTCACCATCCCCAGCACTGAATTCCTTTTCTCTCTCCCAAGCTCTACTCCTAATCTGTCCTTTGTTTTATATTCAGCGTTTCACTAAACCGTGTCCTCATATGTCTGGTAAGCTGGCGTGATCTTTAACTTCTCTCCCTCCTCTTGTAGCTAGCTGATCACTAGCTGAATCCTGTCGGTTCTCTTCCTCACTGTCTCTGGAATCCGTTCGTCATTGTGCATTCTTATTGCCCTATTCAATCACCTCCTGTCTGGAAAATCCTCAGTAGCTTCTTATCTGGTCTCCCAGTTCCACTCTTGCATCCCCCTTCCTCCTACTCTGTTCTTCATCCAGAATGATTTCACTGCAGGACAGATGAGACATTTTCTCTCCCCTATTTACTGGTCTCTGTTATTTTGGGCTGAAGTCCAAAATCTATTACTTCCAAAGTAAGTACTTCTCATTCCGTCTTCAGCCTCATTCCTAATTGTCCTTCCAGCTCTCTTGGGCCAATCTGAAAACCCTCTCCTTACTCTCCCTGAGCCTGCACAGGTTCATCATCCCCCTAGAATATCTTCATCCTTCCTCCCCCTTGGCCGGCCATCTTTCTGGATGAGCCCAGGTGTCACTTCTAAGAAGTCCCGGTGAGGTGCCCTTCCTGGAGATCTCCTGTCCCCAGTACTTGTCACGCTGTGTAGTCATGTCCAGTTTTTCCATCCCCATCACCCATTAGAGAGCTCCTGTCTAAGAGGGACCATGTCTATCGTTTTCCATTTCAAGCCCCTTTGCCCCTCGCATTACCTGGCATGCAACCCCTGCCTAGTAAATATCTATGAGATGAGTGAGCTGGTTTTTAAAAGGCTTTTGTGAGACAGTTACAAACATTTATAAACTTTTTTTTATTAAGCTTTATTTTTACTGTTGTAGCAAAATCTTTTTTATAACTTACCTAGTCCAGCTTGTTTTAAGACTATAGTAATATCTTTTAAGAACATTGTGTAGGACCAGCTCATGGCACAGTGCTTAAGGCAGGTAGATCCTGCATGGCCAACAGAGCCATCCAAGTCCTGGGCCTGGTGGACTGAAGTCTGTGCTGGGCACATGTATGTGCACGCCCAAATGCTGAGAGGAGAATGGAGGAGAAGGGATTGCAGTGTGGCCATCTCTCCTAGGGAGTGCCTTCCCACTTTCTCCCCTCCCTCCCTCCCTCCCCCTCTCTCCTTCCCTCCCTCT